TCGGCGTCACAAATATGTGGTTGAAAACAATAACTTCCACGTGTAAAAACAAGCAAAGGGCTTTTCAGATGTGGCTTTCGCGGAAGGTAGATTGCGCTGCTAAGGATGAAGTTCTATTCATGACTTCGGAAAAGCACTCTGAACCACTCTCGGAAGAATGTACCTGGATGAACATGCTTAAAGTATTCAAAAAGCCTATAGGTGATTGCAAACAGTTCATTATCCAACTTAAAAATTCAACAAACTACTGTAAATCTTTGGAGGCCCTAGGTTTCCGGATGGATCAATCAACTGGCAATGCCCTTGCATGGCAGGAGGTTCACTAGTCGCTCATAGGTTTGTTCCTACCTGTTTCTTAAATACACGTGATTTAGTTGCACGCCAAATCGATTTTTTTTCCTGAGCAAGCTCCGAAATTTCTTTGTCTTTTTCGGGTCGAGAGGCTCTGGTTTCAAAATTTACTGGAAATCCAAAACCTGTTCAAAATGAACTATTACTGGATTGTTTCTATTGAAGGAAATAGGTATCGAAGTTACGCATCGACTGTGCATACGATGCATATTAAATCCGATTTGCATAGAATCAGCTTGAGGGCTAAGACCAGGCAGTTTACCTATTTATTGCTGTGACTCCAGCCATACCTTTTCTGCCTCTAGGGTGCATATCATGGAAGAAATCTGTATCAACTTTAGCATTGCACTCTGTTAACTTCTACGCTTCTGAGCTGACACGAAAAGAAACGAAGATGAAAACTGAACATATGAATATATGTCTTGTCTAGAGTTTTCATAGAGGGCAGGCAGAATTGCCAGGATTTTTTCTCTTCAAATTCGGATATCTGAAAACGCAAAACATTGTAACAGAACAGAACAGTCAAATAGATGGATAATATGTGTACTGCTTGGATTGCTTCTATAGCCGTTACCAAGATGGTGTAATCACTATTGGCTAACGTTTCGGCCGTGCTGCCTTCGTCAGAGACTCTGATCACACGGCAGGTCACTAGTTAGATCACCGCTGTTCTCGATGGATGATATGCTCTTCAACTTTTATATTTTTGAAGGTGTGAACACCAGATGTGACTGGCTTAAATAGAGAATGCTTTAGAAACTCTTTCAGAATTGAAGTACCTTTGCCATTTTTAGCCCGATGTAACGGCATTGTTCTGTGAAGGGCATTGCTCTTTAAGCGCGCAGATTTCTAGTGAATTCCTAATGTGCACCAATGAATAACGGGGAGTTTGGGTATAGCCGCTGCGCAGGAAGCAACTTGTTCGGCTTTTGGCAAGCGCGCGAATTCTTTTCTCTCGGGAAGCTAGTCCACTTCTGATCATTGATGGAGCTGAGGTTCCCGTAGTGAGGAAAAGTTCCGCTTGCGAAAAGCGGAAAGTTCGCTTTCTGTTCTGGCGAACCACACCCAGAGTTTCTCAGTCTCTGGTTTTGCGCTGCGCATTCTTCTTCTAGTCGGCGCGGAAGAAGGTTGTAGTGTATAATACTCGAAAAGCATTAAATACATATCGATCGTCTGGTCCGATCGAACACGTGGAATCGGACGGTTGATACGTATCGTTGCGGTCGTTACGATCAGAACGACCGACTATGGAAGCGCCCCTAGACAAAAAGTTATTTGAAATAGGAGGCCAGTCAGTTATCAGGTATAGTTTCAGATGTGGCCATCTTTTTCGACCTCTCTACATTTGTATGTCCAATGACGAAAAGGAGGACAGCTCTATAAAATGTCCTGAAGAATTCGTTGACTGGGTAGCTTGTATGCAGAACCTGAGTGGTATGTTGCTCTAAAAATCGTAATAGCCATTTTCTGTCAGCTTTTTTTGAATATTCCATTCCAGCATTAACGAAGATACAAATGAGATCCTACTCCTGAAGCCCAGAGAAGGAGAGTCGTGACGGCGGTCGAAGAGGATTCATTTAGAGCTTGTTATTTGTTACTAATTACATGTCACTGCTATAATTTAATGTCAATACTGTACGATAAATAACTTTATCCGTGTTAGGATTTTGAAATCATTCTGTTGTTTATCAGTGCTTATTTCATACATTGAATTCGTATTCGGTCACTAACGCTTTTTTTGTTTTGTGAAGGTTCTCATTCAGGTATGGAAGAGAAGCATGCGGTGCATTTCATGACCAAGAAGGATCTCCTGGAGCCTTTAGCCGCGGACTTGAAGCACTTGCTTGAACCCAGGAAGGATGAGCCAAGTGAGATTTGTTCTTAATGTGACGCAAATCGGTGGGAGACTTCGTTTAGAGATCAGTAGACAGATGCGTAAACGAGACTTCGAACAATAAGCCTCTGAATGCTCAACTTGTTGTGTAGTCAGGGGTTCAGGGCGCATTCTTAGTCGTCCAGACGTAACGATACATTGGATGCAAACAACCGATCGTAGACGTTTCCGCGACGACGCGATAACGTATGTAACGCTGTGCATCGGCACAATCGAACAACCGATTATGCACGCCCTCAAGTTGTCGCTCCTCGTTTACAGGGTGGTCCAAAATTATGAGGACCGCGTGCGCGCGCGGTCATATCCATTTTTTCCGAGTAGCTCCATCATCGTTTCCTTTTCTGTGCACCATGTGATAGGGTACCGTGTATTCTTCCTTTCGAAACTATACTTCATGCAGTTCTCAAAACTAGTGAAAGAGCAACACCTCCTTATGTCATTCCTCAAATTGAACTCACTAAGGGCTCTGGCACGTTACATCTAGCGGCAGTCTAACGTATCAGGAAAGCTCATTTGGGCAACAGTTCAACTCTTCAATAAGTTTGGAACCACCACAGATGGAAAATTCGGAGACTCGAAAGTTACAGTTACCACCAGGACAATTATCAGATGCAGAAACTTGCTCTCCCCTTGTCGACTTTCGTACTCCCAAAATGAAAAAATCGATGTGAAAACCCAGCCAGGCACTCTAAAGACTCCACATCTATAGTGGATAGGAAGCCACTCGAGTACCGTACTTGGGACGTTTTACTGGACCGAGCACCCAAGAATAGAGCAAAAATTCTCTAAGAAGCAATTTTTCGAGTTTGTTGCACTCGAAGAATTGTTACAATGGAACCCTCCACCTAACAGCTCTAGAATTCTGTATTTTACACCCTGTAGACATGGGTAAATGAATGCCCCACAAAACGTTGATCCCCTGAAGAAAGCAGAGCAGAAGGCCTGGAAACATTTTGACGCCTCAGTTGCGTGCCACCGCACGCGCCACCCCCTTCGTCTGAAGGCTCGTGTAAACGCGGCAGGTGGCAGATCTCAATTCTATTCTGGAATTACTTTGAGATACTAGTTACAAACACTTCCCTGAAGTTTGTTTGTCCATCAAGCTACTATGCGTTTTTAACGACACAATGTCTTGGTCCTCATAATTTTGGACCACCCTGTATAATCGGCAGTTCTGGCGTACTCGGAACAGCGCAGAGATGAGGAGTTTTTATCACGCAACCGGCAGCCGCTTTTATAGAAAGGATCTCTTCTCGTCTAGTTATTCTTATCCTTTTCTTCTCGTTCTTGTCCAGCAAGGCTGTACCAGCGCGCTAAGGGCTACAGCCGATGGCGTTCACCGGCTCGCCGTCGGACTCTAGCTGCGCATTCGAACCGTTCTGTAGAGAGGTAGAGCAGAGCGTTCAGTTGATGACGTCAGCATAGGTGAAGCTCGCTCGGAAGAACTAGGAGGGAGAGTGGATGATAGCTCAGGTACATCTTGTGGTACGCAATGGGCTAACCTGAAGGTGTTGTTGGCAGTAAAATTTTTTTCACCAATACTCACTTTCCATGTACTATACTGACGTTATTTTTCTCAAAAAATGTTTTCCAGCATCATTTCTAGCTGACGGTCGTATAAACGAGGAATGCACATGTCTTCATTCAGCCCTAGCTCACCGATGCGGTCACCTTATGCGTGAAGCCGTCCGGTAAGATCGTTTCGAACCTTTATTTTATGCCTATTTCCATGAATAAACACCCTTTCACCCTCATGAAGAAAGCTCTAGTTCAATTTGTTATTGAATTCTCTGTCAAGTGGAGATGTGGATTTTTCATCAGATTAGAGGGTATGAGAAGGAAATGCCTTCGGAGAAATATGAACTCGGAATTACCTTACCCCATTTTTTGGCTTGTTGCTTGTCACAAATTCACTTAAGGGAAGCAAGGACCGGGGACCTGCAAATATTTTGGTGCATTGCATTTCACATCACTTCGTGCTCTGCAAGGCTTTAGCAATTCTGCCGAAAATAATTTAGGTGTTTCAATTCGTCTACAGTAACACCTCGTGGTGCTGACTGTGAAGAATATTTCATACGGCAGGCCAAATGTGTGAAAAAGTACGGTGGCTTCAAGGACTGAGGTTGCCGTGCATTTTCTTTCTGTAAATTCATATCTTCTTTGTGGGGTCACTGGGGTGATGATGAACGTTA